CCATGCGTTGGTAATAAAACATCGTGGAGTTGTTTTTCACAGGCAGGCATACGTACACACACACGCACACGAACGCGAACGCGTACCTGCAGCACGTGCGCACGCGCACACGCATATGAACACGCGCACGGACACGCACACGCGCACGGACACCGACATGCACGCATACGCACAGGCACGCGCACACGCATATATTAACACGCGCATGGACACGCATACGCACAGACACGCGCACACGCATATGAATACGCGCACGGACACGCACACGCATATACGCACACGCACAAACACACATACATACATACATACATATATACATACATACATACATACATACATACATACATACATACATACATATCATACATACATAAATACATAACATACATACATACATATCATACATACAAACATACATACAATACATACATAACATCATACATACATACATCACATACATGCAATTGCATGCATCATCAATGCATTGGCATGCATGCATGCATGCAATGCCATGCAAGCATGCATGCATGGCATATTGGATACATACATACCATAACATAGCATACATGACATAACATATCATACATAACATACATACATACATACATACATACATACACTCATACAATACATATAAACATACATACATACTACAATACATACATACATACATACTACATAGCTATACATACATACATAACATCATACATTACATACATATCATAATACATAACATACATACATACATCATAGACAGAAAAAATAAAACATACTACATATACATACGAGGAAGTTAATGAGACATAAACATATATACATACATTTACATACATGCATAGCAACATACTGGCCGACATTTGTCTTCACTATGGATAGGTGACATCTTATATTGCTTCGTTGTCGGTTGCAGCGACCATGTCAGACACAAATTGAAAGGCAACCGGATTTTTCCATTAATAAGCGCTCGTAATGCACTTATGTTAACGGTTTAATAGCACACAATATCGTTCATTCCGTTGTTCCTGCCCACGGGAATCTAGGCTGTTCGACAAGTGGGGTAGTATTCACCATCAACCGACTGCCTGCATATTTCCATATACTCTCAGATTTCAGTTACATGCTTTGAATCTATGTACAGGTGTTACACGGGTTTTGCAAACATTAGCCTGTAGTCCCACATAATGCGTTTGGCCTGGGGATCGCACTAGCATTCACGCCAGGATGAAGAAACCACGTATTACGTTGCGCGATGATCGTAAATGCAAAACGTTAATTCGGTTGGCTAGATAGCATTTATCCACACACACACACACACACATCACACCACAACACGACATACATACACACATCACAAACCAACACACACACACACACACGACAACATACACACACACCAACACATACACACACACCACACACACACACACAAACACAGACGCGCGCTCGCATCGGCACGAAACGCGCACTAACACAAACAACAGCGACAAGCACACACAAGGACACACAAACACACAACACACACACGCACAGCACACCACACCACCATACATACAAACACACACAAACGACACACACACAGCACGCACGCACGCACGACACACACAGCACATACATACCCCGCTACAAACACGACGCACAAACACACACACACACACCACACACACACACACACACACACACCCACATACATACACACACGCACAAACACACACCACACCACCCCCACACCACACACCCCACCCATAACACATGCACACACACACACAACACACACACATAACCACACAGACACACACACAAACAAACACACAACACACAAACAAACACACACCACGCAACACACGACAAACACAAACACACACCACACACACACACACACGCACACGCACACACCACCACACACAACACACAGACACACACACAACACACCACACACATATATATATTATATATATATATGATATTATATAGATATATATATATATAGCCCGAAATCTAACAAAACGGTGAAATTATGAATAAAAATCGTATCATATGTTGCGACCTAACGACCGATTTTTTAAGGGCCTCAATTTCCAGGTGGTTCCCTGCCTCTCAGCGGCGTTGCTTTGAGAATGTGTTGTTTTTGCGGATTACGCTGCCGTCCTAAACGCCAACCTGCCGGCGATGGTGCGATGATGAGATTAGTTATACTTCTACTTTCACGCTTCTCGAAAGAATGTAATCGAAACAACGGAACAGCAGCAGTGATCAGGCTGCAAACCCCAACCATATTGGTGACTATTAGGCTACTATAGCTCTCAATAACTAGCGAAATATTCAATGTGTATTTGCAAAAGCAAATCATTCGATCTCGTCGGAGTCGTTTTCTTAGCATTTTATGTGGGTACTTTTCCATTGAGTGCGTTATGCGTCAGTCAATATTACATTTTGATGGAATTACTGAACAAAGCATTCTTCATGGCAGAACAAGTGCCCGCAAACATCCCAGTAAAACGGGTTTTCCATCCAGGTATTTTCAAGCACTTAGCCACAACCCAAGGCCGGCGGTCATACATCCGGTAAATAAGAAAGCGCGACAGAGAACTCTGTATTATTATTATCTTTTCACAAGTTTATCCCGAGTAAAACAGATTCACAAAGCTTGCCTAATTTTTGCCCTTGTTTAACGCCACGTGCGGTATGTAAATTTGACCAAGGTAAATGTGACTTTTGCATGATATTTCCGTTTCAGATAATTTCAGACTATTCAGACTATATGCACCAGCCTGCGTGCGTATTTCTGAGCTTGTATACGTTTCCGTGCGCGTGCATGCGGGTACGTGTGCGTGCGCGCGCGTTTACGTGTGTCTGTGCGTGTTCGTGCATGTGCGCGGCCGGCGCGCGCTCATAATGGCAAAACGACCAGTTTCTACGAAGCATTTGATGACTTGAGTAATTTGGAATGTGAGCTGACCAGGTCAATGCCAAACGACTATTCTACCCTTTACCCAAATTGGTGGCGCTTTGATACTCGGGGAAAATGAGTCTTGTCAAGTTAGCCATGGTCAGGTATCGTCAGGCATTGTAGAAGACAGTTTGTTTTGTAGAAGGTAGTTTTGCGCATCTGATGAAGTGCTAGAGAGGACCACATGCAGTCTACCGTTGAAAAGTAAAGTTCATTTGAATGTGGCTGGCATAGCAAGCATAGTGAGCACTCTCGTGATCGCATCGCGTACAGTCAACATGCATGGCTACGCTGGCTGCGTTGCCCATCTTACTCTTTCACTGAATAAAATAATTATTAGTTTAACAAATTACCGTATGTAATGTTCTATAAACGGGGTTAAATCACTTTCTCCCACGCACGCACGAATGCACGCACGCACTCAACACACATAATATGCAGCGCAAACATACATAAATACACGAAGCTATAACCTACGTAAGATCGCCTTTCTCTATCTTTATGCTTATTAATAGTAGACAAGGACGTAAATGTGCACCACAGAATATCTTATATTATTATTATTTATATATTATATATATATTTATATACATATATATATATATATATTTATTTATTTAATATGATATATTATCATTATGCCGATTTGATTATTATATTATGATGCAAGAAAGTGAGTTGTTCACGGTCGCACGCCAATCACGCTGTTATTCTTCAATGAACGTCTTCTCATGCATATTAAAAGAAATGCTAGGCTGCGACTTGGCGCAACCATATGTTATGCGTGACTAAGATCAAAATTTTGACAGAACCCGTTTGGGATAACAAGGATACAATAAGTCTATCTGAAATGCTGAAGTGAATCCGCGTGGTCATCATTCCAACACGAGTGCCCATCAGATAGTGCTAAGTGGGCGGGGCACGCACAGCCTCTGGATATTTATCCATTTACGCACGATATATTAGTTGCGTTTGATAAGTGCGTTTGTCGTCGTAGTTTTTCACATATATCTTATTGTATGCATATATATATATATATAATTATATATATATATTCTGACTGGAGTACATCGATGGAGATCTTTGTTCTGTACTCGGGCGTGTGCCTTCATGGCATCGATGTGAGCGGTTGCTGTTAGTCTGTACTATAAGTGCATCACGTTCGCTCATCTAATCAGAAGTTCGGAACAAACATATCTGTCTATTACGAACCTCTGATCCAACCTATGAAACTGCGCAGCAGTAAGCTCACTATACTTCGAAACGTTAACCAGTGGGGACAAATGTCAAAACAGATCAAGAATTCACCTGTGTTTAGCCCCCTGATGCTCCTGAAAACCTCCCGCTGATTCTTAGCGAAAGCGGCAGTGGGTGTTCGACGGTCTTTTCTAGGAAGGGTGGTGCGGTTGCCGCGCACACTGCATGCGCCGACACAAAAACGCAAGGTCATCATGATTAGCGGTTTATCGCATTGATCTCAAAAATACTTTCATTTTCAGATTAATAACAATAACGTTAGCATCGACCGTGCTGTGAATGCAGATAAACGTACCAACGCCGGTCAAGAGTTTCGCAATACCTCAAGAGCTAAGCAGCCTACTCATGAATTTCAAATCATTTTATTGCTTCATCATTGTTGTTCTAACTCGGCGAAGGAACCCGTACTGTGTGGCTGCGTGACCTCTTGCGGCGAAATTTTCGAAAATAGCAGACGTGCTTTTAGGGAGCTACCCCATGCATGCCCCCGAGTGTCTGTGGCTCTTCCAATGAGCGAAGCCAAATTGATCTCAATTGTTGGCGGGAATAATGGCCCGCGAGTCGCCCTTTTCGTGCGCCCAGGCGAGACCAACTAATGGCCGCAGTAGGGCAGCGGAGGGTGGGGGGTGCCACCCCGCACAAGGTCGCTCCACGTCAGGCGTGAAAATGCCAAAGCGCGTATTTATCTCCGTCGCGCCGTTTCTCCCACGTGACACGAGGGTCATTCCTGCTGCCGAATCGCAACTATTCAGGGGCCGGGTTAGGACAGAGGATGAGTTAGAATGTAGGTGACGCCCCGCCCTTTGGCATATATAAGGCCCGGCTGGAGAGGCAGAAACACAAACTGCGTCCGGCGGCTTTGGATCATCCTACTCAGACACCGTTTTTGCGTACACACCCGGGTGAGTAACTTGTAATTTTTCTTAGCAAGATCCGGATTCTAGCGCATTGCACATCTCATTTGTCCATTGTTTGTTTTATTGGAGTATTTCCGTTAGGTCAGTGGATATTGCAGTTATATACGCGCTTTCACGCCTACTTCGCTATCTTTTGATTCTCTCATTTCACGTCTGTTTGTTGCGAAACGCATGATTCGCAGAAAGATGCTAGTGCGTCCTGCCATAAGCTACACTACGCAGTTCAGTCGATGCCAATATTACGTTAAATAACTCGGACTTTTTTCGGACGTTAAAGTTAATGCCATGTTATTAGTACGGGAGCACATGAATTCTATGATATCCACGACATCATTTCTACGCTATGATATCTATTCTATTATATTATCAGGAGTGAATAATAATAGATCTATTATTATTCACTCCTCATATTATTATATAAGATTCTCTTCTATGATATCTATTCATTTTCTCTTACAGCATCACCATGAAGAAGTTGGTACAAGTTATGCTCCTCGTTCTCGTTGCTTCGCTGGTAAGACAATCATGTTCACTGACCATGAATATAGAACAGGGCACGTCATTATCGCTGATCGTGTAGTTTTGCAACTTGCGCTCCCTTAAAATACAGCACAACCATAAAATATTTTACGACGACGACGACAACAGCAACAGCGCCAACGACGACCTAGGTTTATGACACACCAAACTTCTTTTTGGGGGGAAGGTCATAAAAGTGGTAGCGGTGAGCGTAAGAATAATACCAGCAATAATATGGACCAAGTGCCACGATGAATCAGACGAAACTAACATACTCAGCTACGCAACTTGTATGTATTGTACTGTCAGACAAAAGGGTTGTGTTTTGCCGCTGGTGATGTTGTCGGTTTATGTAGATTGTATAATGCGCCGATATTATCTCTCCTTATGCGCACGCGCCCATCACCGGGGCGTCTCAGCGAGTGAAACAGGAACAGAAAACTGCCGCGGTCGGTTCGCTCAGCGCGTGGCTGGTAGTATATATTGCTCTCATTCGCATTGCTCTCTAGTTGGTCACCTCAGCGTCAGCACATTACGGAGGCTACAGACGCTATGGTGGCTATGGAGGCTATGGAGGCTACAGACGCTATGGCGGCTTTGGATACCGACGACGCTACGGAGGTTACGGCGGTTACGGCGGTTACGGCGGTTACGGCGGCTACCGACGATTCTATCCACGTTTCGGCGGAGGTTACAGGCGTTTCGGATATTATGGATAAAGGAACTTTGTCTGGAACTTGTTTCGAATGGATTTTGGATTATGTATGTTCCCCCCCCCCAAAAAAAAAGCGCAGTCTGGGCGTCCTATACTAGCTGTCACAATATCTTTTATTGGTTATAATCACTAGTATAAACGTTAGAATAGATCCTAAGATTCTATTACGGGTACATACATAATTATTTTCTCTGAAATATTTCTTTATTTACTTTGCAAAACCTGGCTATTAGTCGCCTATAGTCAGTGAAATGACAGTTGTATACTGCCAATCTATGAAACAAAATATGAGCACGCATTGTACTATTCATGCGAATATTGAGCTCTCTCATACATTTCTGTATTCTTCCATGTATATATCAGATAAAATAGATTCAATTAACCACCACTGGTAGTTTACCAAATGTGTATGACAATAAATCTATTCTATATTTCATAAAATATATCTGCCACTTTGTTATGCTGTTTTTACCTACATAAAGTATTGTGAGTTGATGAGCTGTTATCCGGGATACTCTCTATATAAAAATATCTTTAATGTACCGTGATTTACCTTCTATCGTGATTATCTGTCTATGAATGAGCGATGGGTGATCTAGCTCATGTCACATTCTTCTGTTGGAAAGTCCTACAAAATGTAATTACTCATAGAATAACACCGATAGTACTAAATCGGCTGACCGAATTAACATTGCCACTCACAATACTATTAATTTAGTTAATATTAATGGCGTTGTCGTAAAACAACATTTCTGGTTACAGCATGTACACGCAGCCCTCGTCGAAGCTGTAAATAGCGGCTTCACGATATTATCCTACATAACGAATCTAATTGTCCGACACCTGTACTATACCTGTACTACACCTGTACGTCCGATGTACGTTTATAAGTTACATAGCTAGTAGAGGTAAATGCAAAGACAGATCGACGATTTACTTTACATGTGAAGCATAATTATATCACCACTGTAAAAGAGTCGGATTACTTCTACGTCGCCTATTATTGACGCTTCCTCTAAATTCGTGGCTTTTGAGCTCAGATTATTTAACAAAATGTCCTACTAGAGAATGTATATAATAGCGTTTCTGACCCCGATTGATACAATGGCAAAATTATTATAAAATTACGCAGACGACATTAAATTTATGGTACAATCAATAGGCCGTAATGTCAGTGTATTGATTGAAACAACAATAGTAACTATCACATTACTGGAACAATATTAACATAGGAGAATTTGCCTCTATGGTAGGCATTACAAATCGATGTACCATGCGTTTCTACTTCAATTCAGGCTGCGAAGGATATGTACAACCTTTTTGTGTGACGATTGAGTGATTTACCGCAATTTGGAATGAACGCCCCATCTCATGAGAGTAGCTAGGAAAGCCATCCATTTATCCATCCATCCATCCATCCATCCATTCATCCATCCATCCATCAATTCATTCATTCATCCATCCATTCATCCATCCATCTATCCATCCATTCATCCATCCATCCATCCATTCATCCATCCATCCATCCATCCATCCATCTATCTATCCATGTGTCGTGTGTGAGTGATGTGTGTGTGTGTGTATGGTGTGTGTGTGTGCTGTGTGTGTGTGTTGTGTGTATTGCCTGTCTCTGTCTTGTCTCCGTATGTTTATGCTCTTTCCGTCTCTCTCGCTCCCTCTTTTGCTCTCTTCTCTCGCCGCTCTCTCTATCTCTATCTCTTACCCTGTACAGACTGCCCAAATTTGATCCTACATCAAAATAGTTTCTGATCAGGCCCGGACACATTCTTTTGTGTACACGTTAGGATTACACAAGGAGGGTTAAGTTAGCTCCGTAAAATGGGATAGGCCAGGCCCGCTTCGAACGCGTACTAAATTAAACCGCTTTAATGAACTCTCCCGCACGATAAATTGTGTGTGTACGTACGCAATTGGCAGCAGCGTGCGGCGCTAAATTCTCATATACGCATGTGCATATCTTTGTTGAGTCACGTAAATGTGCAGTTTAGCGCGTGTTCATCTGCCTACTGCGACGTAATACGCTAAAGCTGAGGCATACGCAGCTTCTGCCGATTCAGGATGTGTATTTTGTGTCTGTACGATGCGATTGCGCTGCGCATTTGGCGGGCTGGCCCGGTCTAAAGGGACAGACTCCGGCACAAGATTACATTTATGTAATCTTTACGGGTATCTATCTCTGTCTTTATCTGTCTATCTATCTATACTATCTATCTAATCTATCTATCTATCTATCTATCTATCTATCTATCTTATTCTATCTTCTATCTATCTATCTATCTATCTATCTATCTTATATATCTATCTATCTATCTATCTCTGTCTTTATCTGTCTGTCTATCTATCTATCTATCATATCTAATCTATCTATCTATCTATCTATCTAATCTATCTATCTATCTATCTATCCTATCTATCTTATCTATCTATCTATCTATCTATCTATGCTATCTATTTATCTTATCTGATCTATCATATCTTCGTATCTATCTTATCTTATCTATCTATCTCATCTAGTCTATCTAATCTATCCTATCTATCTATCTATCTATCTATCTATCTATCTATCTATCTATCTATCTATCTATCTATCCATCTACTCTATTTATCTATCTATCTATCCATCTATCTATTATTTATCTAATCTATCTATCTATCTATCTATCTATCTATCATATCTATCTATCTATCTATCTATTCTATCTATCTATTAATCTATCTACTTACCTATCTA